ATAGTAAATAAATTCTTTGTGTCTATTTCCTTTTGTCCTCTAGGCCAGGACTGCCCAAAAGAAAGCATGCAAGATGTATTTTTAATTTTAAATTTTCTACTAGGCACATTTTAAGAAAGTAAAAAGAAACAGATGAAATTAATTTTAATAATGCCTTATTGAGCCCAATATATCCAAAATATTATCATTTCTATATGAATCAATATGAAAAGTTTTTTTTTATTTCAGTAGATTTAGGGGGTACAAGTGCTTTTTCCTGCGTGGATGAATTGTGCATGCTGAAGTCAGGGCTTTCAGTGTGCCGGTCACCAGAATAGTGTGCATTGTACCCAATAGGTAGATTTTTATCCCTCGCCCCCTCCCACACTCCCCCTTCTTAGTTTTCGATGTCCATTACACTGATTTATGACCATATATACCCCTTGTTTAGCTCCCACTGGTAGGTGAGAACACGCCGAGTTTGTTTGTCCATTCCTGAGATACTTCACTTAAGATAATGGTCTCCAGTTCCATCCAAGTTGCTGCAAAAATGGTGTGTGTGTGTGTGTGTGTGTATGTGTATATATATATGTATATATGTATATGTGTGTATATATATATATATATATATATGCACACACACACACACACACACACACACACACCACATTCGCATTATCCACTCGTCCATTGATGAGCACTTAGGTTGATTCCTGCAAAGTATTAATGAGATATTTTACATTTTTTTTTTTGGACCAAGTCTTCAAAATTCAGTGTGTGTTTTGCACTCACAGCACATCTCAACTTGGACTAGCCACATTTTAAGTGCTCAGTAGCCACATGTGGTTAGAGGCTACTGAATTGGGCGAGGCCACTGTAGGCCCTGAAGAGGACCTGAGTCCTCCACCCAAGGGTCAGCTCCCACATCCAACTGGATACCGGCTTACAGCCTAGGGGTCCGAGGGACCCAACTTGCTACCTTCTAAAGGAGTTTTCATATTATAGAGGCATTAACATATTACTGGCAACTGCTTGGCAGGGGAGCCCAGCACACTCCCCTGGCCCTGCTCCTGGCCTCCCTTAGGACTGAGAGGAGAAGGGGGCACCTTCCCCAAGGCCTATGATTTGCAAATGACAGTGGGTTTCCTTTATTGAGCAAAAATTCTTAATTTAATATAATCAAATGTATGAAACCTTAAAATTTGCCCCAAAGCCACAAACAGCCCCTCTGGCTGGTCCTGCGTCTGACACTTGTCCACTGTGCTCCTTCCTTCCCTGCGGCCAGTCCTCCTCTCTCTGCCGGGTCATTCTCCTTCCACCTGCCGGCCCTGTCTTTGCTGGAAGCAGCATTTCTGAAGCCAGCTTGGTACATAACCCAAGACCCTTGTCTTCCCACTGCTGCGGCCGGTTTTGCTCCTAACTACCCCAGGATCCGGACGAGGGATTGACATCTGATTGGGATACAGTGTGAGATGAGCACCTCTTTCCGTTGCCACGCCTCTATTTCTAATCTGTAGTATAATATCGACGGATTTGAACTTCACCACCTCTGAGGCCCACATCATGTATGACCCTAAGATTTTCAACTATTTCATACGGCTCCCTCTAAACCATGCATACACATACGCCCCTGGTGTTCCAGGTCACCTTTGTAAAACACTGCAAGGGGGGCATCAGGGATAAAGACAGAAAGAGATGCAGAGACTAGAGGAGGCAGCCACAGAAGAAGTAAACATAAGAGAGAACAAAGACAGACAGAGAACATCCAAGAGTACAAACAGCAGAACCCAAGGCCCCTCAGAGCCAGCATCTGCCTGGAGCAACGGCAGAGCAGGAGGGTCTTTGCTCCCTGCTCTTTGACATGGCAGAGAAGTGCTGCTAGGCCTGAGACCGCTTTTACCCAGCCGGGTAGGACCCTCCAGGGGCTACACTGCTGCTCGCATCTCCCCTGCCCCTGGAGCCAGGACCCAGGCTTTGGCCGGATGTCTCCAGGGATTGGGGGTCAGGATCTGGGTGGGATGCGGCAGGTGGGCCTGGGACCCAGCGTTCCCAACAGAGAGGAGGAAGCACGAGGCTGCCGTGGCAGAAGAGAGGAGGGCTCAGTCCCAGGCCAGCTGAAGACACACCCCTTTGTGACCCATTTTGTCTTGTTCCTCATTCAGAGCCCCCAGCCCCGAGGAGCAGACCCTGGGGCTGTGATGGAAAGCAGGGGCTGTCCCAAGTCCTGCTGGGCTGGGCTGGGCTGCACCAGGCCGGGCAGAATGCTGCTGGGTGATTCTCTGGGGAAAGGGGAATTGAAAGGGAAAAGCATCTCCAAGGAGGGCGGAGAGGGAGGGAGCCTGTGTGGTGCGGGCACACACACACACACACACACACACACACACACACACACACACACACACAGCCTCCCTGACTTAGCCTGAGCTTCACTGAGAAGAGGAGCATTCTTCGCTCTGCTCTCTGAGCTTTCCGTTGCTTCCCTGCCCATCTGAGCTGTCAGCAGCGCCAGCAAAGTTGGCCTCCAACTTGAACGGAGCTGAGGGCTGGCTCCAGCTTCCTGGGAGCTCTGCAGACAGCCGGCAGGCCCGGCCTCTGAACTCAGCTGTCTTGAGAAGCCCACCCGACCCTCCCAGCACTCAGCTGGCCCTTGGTCCCCTGGGTGATGCTTCTGCCCCTCCCCAGGGCCGGGGAATGGTACGCTGAGGTCCCCCTGGAGCCCCTTGTCCCAGCCTGGAGCTAGAGCAGCGCGAGGCCCGGGCCAACATGGCCAATCTCCTGCAGCCTCAGTTTCCTCCAGCGCAGGAGCCGGGCTCCACCTCACCCCTGGACCTGCCTGAGATGGAGAAGCTCCTCACCAAGGTAGAGGACAAGGATGACAAGACCCGGAATCTGTCCGAGTCCCTCTCGGGGGCTCTGGATCTGGAGCAGAATGGCCACAGTGTGCCCTTCAAGGCTATCTCTGAGAAGCACCTGGAGGCCTCACTGCCCCGGTCCCCCTCGCGGGCCAGCTCGAGGCGGGCGTCCTCCATCGCCACCACCTCCTGCGCCCAGGACCAGGAAGTCCCCAAAGATTACCTCATCCTTGCCATCGCCTCTTGCTTCTGCCCCATCTGGCCCCTCAACCTCATCCCCCTCATTTTTTCTATCATGGTAAGTGCTGCTGCTTGTTCCAGGGGCTGGGCCCAGGGTGGGCAGGCCTGTCCCCCAGGTGGGCACCAAACATGCTGCCTGGGGTGCAGAAAAAAGAGCGCTTTGTGCTGGGGGCGGGGGAAGAAGCCCCTTCCTTCCTTGCCCTAGGAGAGGGGCCGAGCTTCTGTTTGCTGTCCTTTCTTCTCTGCTTCTGGGCATCACAGCTGGCTTTGCGCCTATCGCTGCCGGGGACAGGGACGTGGGAGCTGCCTGGAGCTAAATCCTGCAGCGCAGACACATAGCTAAGTTAGGGGTCTTGCTTTTCATGGAGGGGCAGACTGCCCCCCAAAGGCATTCCTGAGCAGGGCTCTGTCTCAGCAGAGGTTGCAGCCAGAAGGGGGTCCCAGGGCCCCGTGATTCCCCTGGGCCACCAGGGCATCCTACCAGCCTTTGCCAGCTCTGGTTTCCAAGAGCCAGCGGCGGCTTCGCTGCTGCGCACTGAGGGCTCCAGGGCCTGGCTGCCCCGAGGGGCACGCAAGGAGGGGAGGGTTTGCCGGCTGCTCCACAGGACGGGAGGAGTTTGCGCTGGAGCCCTCTGGACCTCGGTGGTTGCACTGATTTCAACATCTGACTTCAGGACAAGGGAGGTCTGGGTCATGAGTGAAAAATTTGAGAGTCACAGGGCATGGCCACCCTTGCCAGGGAGGGGCGTGTGGCCTAGTCTTTACTTTGGTAAGGTTGTGAGTGAATTGCCTTATATCGTCCTCAATGTAAGCCATCTGGGGACAATATAAGACGTTAGAGCTACTTACAGAAGATCCCACAGAGAATGTTGGTAGGTGTTGGCAAGTGACATTTCCAGGAAGAAAGAGAGAGACAGAGAGAGAGAGAGAGAGAGAGAGAGACAGAGAGAGAGAGAGAGAGACAGAGAGAGACAGAGAGAGACAGAGAGAGAGAGACAGAGAGCTGGGCATGGCAGTACCTTTCAGAATGAGGTTAGGAGCCCGGGCTGGTCAGGGCCAGAGGACTGGGTGGGGTGGCACTGTTTGCTCCCCTCTGGAGTGACTGCTGCTGAGTCATCTGTCACCAAGCCCCCAGGAGCTGTGCTCACTCTGGGCCGTCCTCTGAGAAAGCCCATATTTCTTCAAACACCTCTGTCCACTTCACAAAGCCTCAGGCTCCAGCCGGGGAAGCCTTCTCTGCCCCACATCAAATCCAGCGCCACCTTCCAGGACATCAGGGGACACCGGCAGCACCCCTGAGTCCCAGGGCCTGGGCATGGGCTCAAGAGCCAGGGCTGGGCACAATCCAGGGCGGGGGCCTTCCACGGAGCTTCCTGTGATGCCTGCTACGCTTGGGGACAGCTGGGGGCAGAGCCAGGTCCCGGGGTGCAGACAGTGGCTCTGGGCAGGGCCAACTTCTTGATCACAGGGAAAGGCCCCATGAGGGAGGCAGGCCTTGGGAAGGGAGTCACACAAGGGCTCAGGAGAGTAGTTTCTAGAATCCATCTCCTGGTGGGGGTGGCAGGGTGCAGGCTGGGTAGCAGCCGCTCTAGTCAAAGGGAGCCCGAGCCCAAGGCTGTGAGACCACGGAGTCCACCCCAGAGCATTTCTACACCCTTTCAAGATTCTCAAGTCAGGTCTGATGGTCACTGGGCTGGGTGCAGGGAATACGGTGCTAACCAGACACCACTGCCAATTCCCAGGGGCCTCCAGCCCAGTGGGGAGAAACTTGTAAACAAATCCTTACAACATATTGTAAGAAGGGCCCATGCCAGACATAACCACAAGGTAATTACGTAGCTTTGGGCACGTCATTCAAATGCCTCTTCTCAGTATTCCCATCTGCAAAATGGGTGTAACTGTTAATACCAACATTAGAAATGGAGGCCCACAAAGTGCTTAAGTGCACAGTATGCTGCTATTACGTGGTAATAGTAATTCAGCGGCAGCTGGGCGGCTCCCTGGTGGGGGATGGGAAGCCATTGTGGGCTTTTAAAAAAATACTTTTATTGAGATATAATTCACATACCATACAATTCTTCCATGTAAAGTGTGCAATTCAATGGCTTTTAGTATATTCACAGGTAGGTGTGACATTAGCCACAATCAATTTTAGAACACTTGCCTCCTCTCCAAAAGAAACTCTGTACCCTTTAGCTACCACCCTCCACCCCAGTCCCCCCTAGCACAAGGCAACCACTGATTTTCTTTCTGTTTCTATAGATTTGCCTATTCTGGACATTTCAAAATGGAGTCCTGTAATGTGTGGCCCTTTGTGGCTTCTTTCACTTAGCGTAACGTTGTCAAGCGTCACCCCTGTGGTAGCAGCATATCGTGCCAAGAGGGGTTTGGTGAAGGGTGAGGAGGGGCTGAGGGGATGAGGCTGGCATTGAGGAGAGGGGGGCCTTTGCAGGAATGTGCAGGTGACAGGCAAAGAGAGGCCCGGACCAGGGTCATGGCCAGGGGCAAGGGGCTCCTGGATGACCCTCACTCACTCAGTTGACTCGGATGGCAGGGTGCTCGTTTCGAGGGAAGCGAGTGGTGGAGGATGAATAGGCTCCCCTGGGAATGAACGCATCTCCTTTATGAACCAGGCTCTGTGCTAGGCCTTGGGGAAGTGGATAGGTAAGATAAGTGGATGGCCTGTTTGGCAGGGCAGAAGGGTGTGGGGGTCTGATGGGGGAGGGAGGAGGCCAGGGACTCGCTCTAGAAATTTGTTTTATCCTCGTGGCTCTGAAGAGCTGCTGAAGAGTTTTGAGCAGAGGCGTGGTGTGGTCAGAGCATATTTTAAAACCAACCCTCAGCTGCGCTGTGGGAAATGGGCTTGAGCAGGAAGACCCGTGGGAGGCTCCTGAGATAGTCGTGGCACGGTTGATGGGGATGTGGACTCGGCACAGGGCCCAGCAGCACCGGAGACCTGCAGAGGAGGTGGGAGCAGGGTTTGCTTCAGGCCCTGGCTGTTGGACTCAGAAGTACTGGAGCCATCCCAGAGAGCTCTGGGGACCAACAGCATTCAGGGCGTGGGCAGAGGGACGTGGACAGACAAGGGTTTGGAAAAGAGATTCCAAGGAGGCAAACTGGAAAGGAGGGAGACATGCCCGGGGAGGAGCGAGTCTGAAGGAGGAGGGAGACAGTCTGATGCTGTGGAGAGGCCAGCTTCACGGGAGTGTCCCGGGCTCAGCCATTTGTTGATCCCTGGTGCCCCAGGAATGGAGAGGCCTGGACAAAAGGGAGAGGAGTGACTGATGGGGGAAGCAGAGAGGTGGGATCCAGAGCCCAAGAAGGAGGACCCTCCCCACCTCGCCTGCTCCCTGGGAGCACAAAGGCCCAAAGGTCACAAGGGCAGGCGCAGATGGAAATACTCAGAGAGATGGGAACTGGTTCCTGTGGCATGGCCTCCATGGGGGACATGGGGACAAGGTCATCTGCTGAGAACTAGGGGCCTGGGGAGCAGAGGGCCGGGGAGGTGAGCAGGAATAGGCTGACGGCCCAAGGGCTCTGCTGAGGTCTGGGTTGTCATCAGCCTACACCGGTGGGACTTTCTCCACCTATAGGTCTAGGTTCACAGATGTGGGCATCAGGTGGACCCAAGGCCAAGGATGGCAGAGATGCCACGAGAATAGGCGCAGGTGGCACAGAAGATGCTGGTAGGGGTGGCTGGGATGATGCTTGGAAGGGTCGGGCTGGGAGTGAGGCTGAGAAGATGGTGACAGCCTCAGAGGAGAGAGAGGGGTTGTGGGCTGGGGCTCAGAGAAGTCAAAGGCCATGGGGGGCGGTGAGAGAGATGTTGGGGGCTGAGATTTCAGAGGAGGAGCCAGGTGGGGCGACCTCAAGGGGTGGAGTGTAGTTGTGGAAGTGAATTTCTAAAGGGAAATATCAGGAGCCAGGGAGAAGGAACACAGCGTTGAGGGATGATATAACTAACTTTCACTGAGTGCCTGCTAAATGTAAGGCACAGTTCCAAGTCCTAGTTCCTAGGACACTCCTGTTTCCCAGGCAGGCAGGAGGTCAGTTATCCATGTAGGATGGTGACACTTGGTCCCACCCAGTGGCAGCACACCTGAGAAGGACAGAGAGTGTGGTAAGAGAGGAAGTCTCTTGTGCTGGTGTCTCCAGGTCCTGAGGGTGGACTTCAGAACTCCTCATCAGAAGTCCCCGCATTGGTTACCAGGTGAAGGATCAAGCCCTTGAGCCCAGGTATGGCAGGAGACCACAGCCTCTCTAGAGCTTGTTACTGTCTGCAGAATGCTCCAACATGAGCTGGACAGAGTCCGGTTCATCGTCCCCATTTCACAGACGGGCAACTGAGCCGTGCAAAGCAGCACCTTGACCACAGTCCCACAGCTGGTAAGGGGCACGTCAGCTGGACACGGAATCCACTGTCCTCTCCACGGCCCCACCTGCATCTAGCTGTGGGGACAAGGATGGCGTGTGCTGCCCAGGAAAGCCAAACCTTTCAGGCATTTGCGCAGGGAGGGAAGAATTCCACTTCCTTCCCTCTTTCTTTGCCTTCCCTCCCAACTCTCCTTCCACCCCCACTGACCCCATCAGTGGGAGACCAGTGGGCCAGCAGCCTCGCACTACGGCTTTGACAGGGGCCTGTGTGACCAGGGCTGGTGGATCAGGGGTCCCACCTCAGGAGTTGTGATCACAGGTGTCTAGACCCAGCCCTGCTCAGCCTGGAAGCCTCCTGTGAGCCTCCTGGGGTGGCCAGATTTTACTTCCGGGTCAGGCTGGGAAATGGCCGTGTTCCTCCATGCCAGTAAGGTCTGACAGTGAGGGCAGCTGGAAGCCCTGCAGTGGCCCTTCAGTCAGCAACGGTGATAGGACAAGCATCAGACAGACCTGAGTTGCATCCGTTCCTTATGAGCCACATCACCATGTCCACATCACTCAACCTCCCTCCTTGGCCTCAGTTTCCTCATCTATAAAACAGACACGATCAAACCATCCACCTCATAGCAGTCCAGAAGACTGAATGAGCTAGTATGTATGAAAGGCTTGGCACACACTAAATGC